TATATATAAAAGCAACGTTACGGTTCGTAAATAATGGCAGAATTTCCATTTTTGTTTGAACTATCCCTTTAAGGAAGTGTTAATGACAACTGGCAACTGCGTTTGGTATGTGTTTAACCTCCATAATCAGATGAGTTTTAAAGTGACAAAATATTCAGCAGGAAATGGTGTAGGGCATAATATGATTTTATCCATCAGGATTTTATTGGATTAGGTTATTATGCCTTCAGAAAATAAAAATAATTGTAGGTGGAGAATGTTGCTATATTTTGATGAATTATGAAAACAAATTTGTGTATACGAGTAGCTTGCACTGAAGAGCATACAAGACATTTATAAAGTAAGTAAATGTGGTCGATTTTGACTTTAATATTCCCCATATTCTTTAGAATCAACCAGAAAGCTCAGGGCTGTGCTTTAATCCATGTGGTTTTAAGAAAGTCTCTTTCAGCCATTCGTCTTTGAATGCATATACATTCACCTCTGCCTCCCTTTGTGTTGCCTGTCAGTGTGATACGGGTATGCAGCATTAAAGCATTGCATTAAAACATCGAAATGAATTTTAAAGCCAATCTGTCCATTATACCCAAGGGCTGGCTATGGCTCTGCGTGCGTTGAGCTAAGCTACTGTCTCCTGCCTGCTGATACCCCCTCTGACCAATCAGCATGTTGTTTTCTAGCATGGCTTCCCATCTCAAGCTAACTGCACTGACAGATCCTGCTCATCTCAGATCCGACAGTTTCAACAAAACAGCTTCTCCATAACCGTCTCACCCAAGTCAATAATATATATGTACATGTTATATATTCTAATTACCATACGCGAATACATCATCATATTGACTCCGCAAATCCATCTCATTCTTTTGTAGCGTGTTTTGGCGTTTCTCCAAACCCTGCACAAATTTAAAATGCATTTGGCTTTCATATGCTGATGAATCGATGCCCTCGTGTGTCGTTTTAATCGCCGCCACAGTGTAGAGCATCATTAGAAACAATTACCGGCAGCGAGAAAAAGAGTTTATCAGTGTCGTTCCTTAATAATTGTGGCCCTTGTACCTCATTCACTAACACTGAAGATGTTATTTGTAAATTGATCTCTCTTTTTTTTTTTAAATAACCATTTTGGAAAAATTAATGCATGCTCTAAAATTTGACTCTTTCTGTTTTTAATTTAATATTTCCTCTTTTTTTCTTCTCGTCCTGTGACCTTTCCCCCAAACCTTGTTTTTCTCCCTTTTCCTTCTCTGTTAATCACAAACACTTGCTACCCGACATTACCATTTCATCCAAATCGTATCACTCATTCCCAACCACTTCTTCTTTTCTTTACATCTCCATAATACACTAATCTTCTTTATCCACCCCTTTTTCTATACACTTCTGCTCCTTTTACTTTTCCCTACCCATAATGCTCAATTCCATTATGTGTTCCGCCACATTTACATTCTCCTTCCCGGCTCCTTCTCTGCCCTTCCCCCTTCTCCTTCTACTCATTTCCTCTGTGTATCATCCTCCTCCCCTCTCCTCCCTCCCAGAGGCCATGCCAGTTGGCGGCAGTGGTGGTCTGCGGGGTTCAGTGAGAGGTTCGGGGGGTTCCTTCAGCATGCACTCCCTCCTGCAGTCCTACAGCAGCGCCCTGCGCAGACCACGCACCCTGGGCCGCAGTCTCAGCTCCTATCTCAACCACACCACACGCCTCGGTACATTCACATGCATGTACACGCATGCACACAGAGGACGAGAGTGTGATGTATGAGGTTGCACAGTAGGGATGGGAATTATAAGGAACTTTAACAGTTTTGCTTCTGATTCCATGTTCCTTATTGCTATAGTTAAAGGTGGGGTAAGCGATTTTTCAAAAACGCTTTAGAAAACTGATTCGGGCCGACTAGCAAAACAAACTTGTGGCCAATCAGCAGTAAGGGGCGTGTCTACTCATGATGTGGAGGAGAGAGCGTTCAGTGCACAGGATGGACATTAGCCGAGACGAGCGACAGAAAGATAGAGATGGCAGATAAAAAACAAAAGAGGAAAATGTCTGCGGAACAAAAGAAGGCTTACGATAAGGCAAGAAGTAGGACCCGTGTAAATATCGGACCAGCTTTCCAGCGCAGGAGTGAACTCAAGTGCAGAAGGCCTGCGATCGGACGCCGAGGTTGCTTTGTTTCTTCTCGATAGGTGAGTAACACTGGAACAGCTAAAGTCTGTCTAGTACACTAGACGCGACAAAGTGACCGTTCAAAATCATTTGAAATTTGTGTCAATACGTCATGAATAGAACGCAGCAGCAGTTTTCTGTCGGGTATTTGTCATGTCGTGCCGTGCCGCATCCAGTGTAGACCATAGATATGTATATATATCTATGGTGTAGACGGCATCACTGATTATAATGAGTTCTATAGTATTTTGTCGCGCCGCACCATTCGCGTTCGGTGTAGACACGGTGTAACATTGGTTTTGCTTTGTTTCTCAGAACTAATCGTTGCCTTTGTTTCACAGAACTAATCGTTGCCTGGGTTGTGTACGTATGTGTGGGGCGGAGCTATCAAAATAGGGGCGAGACCTTTTTGGGGTAGGGGTGTGTTTGTTTTAGTGATTTCAAATGTCAACATTGGCTACAAGAAATCGCTTACCCCACCTTTAATGATTGCTATTGCATTCACTTCCCTTAAAGGCCTGTTGTCAAACAATGAGGTCATTTTAGCAGAACAGTAATGACAAAGCAACTTCTCTGCCTTTTTTTTCTTGTAAAGGAATAGTGCACCCAAAAATCTAATTCCTGTCATCATTTACTCAAGCTCAAGTTGTTCCAAATCTGTATGACTTTCTTTTATCTGCTTCAAATGAAGATATTTTAAAGAATATGTGTAACCAAATCGTTGCTGGTCCCCACTGACTTCCATTAATTGGACAAAAAAGTCAGTAGGGACCAGAAACTGTTTGGTTACCCACATTCTTCAAAATATCATCTTTTGTGTTTAGCAGAAGAAAGAAATTCATACAGGTTTGGAATAACTTGAAGGTGAGTAAATTATGACAGAATTAAAATTTTGGGGTGAACTATTCCTTTAAACCCATAATCTGCTGGATCCAAAGTGGATTTAAGAGGGATAAAGACAGCAAAGATACAATAATGTTTTTTTCCAGAATTGTATACTTGTTTCTGATTGTGCAGTTGCTTCTGATCTGTTATTACTGTTCTGCTGAAATGATCTCATACAATTGACGTCTGCAAAACAGCATATGTATCCGGAAAAGTTGCGTTTACACAGACTTTTTAATTCAAGAAGCACTTGCTTAAATGGAATGTTAAATGAAAATAAGCTTATATTTCTTCTTTTTTAGGAGTTATGTTCACATTGATGTAAGAATGCAGAAGTTTCAGGACTGTTAGCGAAACTGAATGTCATAAAATTATTCGGTTATGTTTTCTAACAAAAAAGAAAGCAGTTCTTGATTCCCAACCCTACTGAACAACTTGGACTCTCGTGAATGTAGCATACACGCATGCACTATTACAGTGGTTCTCAACTGGCGGATTGCAACCCAGGGAAAAACTGTTAAATGCAGATGATAAAATGCAGCTAACTGTGTAATAATACATAAGTAGGATAGCAAAATAAGTCTGCTTATCAAGAGAGGGAGAAATAAACATTTCCCATATCTTTTGTTGTTGAAGGCCATGTTTCCAAAGAGACACTACAATATTTTTGTATTTTTACCAATGTCACTTGCTAGTGACATAATTAAATTGACATAACTAAATTAGATGGATTCAAGCATGGAAAGTTGCTTTATATCGGATTATAAATCATAGAATTGATTATAAGACACCACATAAAAGCCAGACTACATAAATAGGTTTACATGCCCATAAAATTCATGCAAGGTAAAAGAAAATACCTAAACTACATCAGTTATATATGCTGCCAAGAGCATAAAACTATTAAAGATGACAAATGTTTCCTATCTAGTAGTTGTTAATCATTTTGCATTTCAGTGTTTGATTTTTTTAGGACATTTTTGTTTAATTTTGTGCAACTAATAATTATGTTTTGCCTGGGTAGATGTCTAGATGTCTAATATAAAATCTGAATCCTGAAGCAAAATCGGTTGAGAACCACTGCACTGTTATACACAGATAGACAGGCAGAGTGCGTGTGTTTGTGTGTGTGTGGATTGAGAGGGGGTGGGAGGTTGTGTTATGGTTTAATGGGGGGGATGGGACAGCGAGTGAATAAATGAGTGGAAGATAATGACTTCTATTTTTTTCCTTTTGTGTGGGTAAGAGACGGATCTAAGTATACGGATCTTAGTACAGCTAAGTAGTTCCTCAGCTGTAGTGTGGTATGAATCTCCGAGTCATATAAATGCGTCAGAGACAGACAGATAAATGTGCAAGAGATGCATTTGGAGAGTGTTCAGGCTCACAGATGATAAATCAGCATTACTTTGGTTTTAAAATAGAATAATGACGTGGTGGAAAGACCTTTAGAAACATCGAATTTGATTTATTCAATACATTTGACCAGTATCATCGGAATTGTGACGTCAACATTGCATGCAAATGTTTTTGTGTGTGTGTGGTTGTGTCCATAAATGCAGAAATCGTTCATGAGGATGTAAAAATGGGTTCAGATGGAGAAAGCGATCAGGCTTCGGCCACATCCTCTGATGAGGTGCACAGTCCCGTCCGAGTTCGTCTGAGAAACAACCCTGGTCGCAAAATTTCCACAGAGGTATGTTCACGTTTCTGACCATGCATCACTTTTTTTCTAGTCACTATTTTTAGAGTGGGACACTGAATAATACATGATGTGTTGGGTAATAAAAACATGCCATTTTCCATGGCTTACCTTTGTTTTTGTTTTGTTTGCTTGAATTAAACCGTGTACCATGTAATAACCATTAGCTTGTTTGTTGCTATTGAAGGTACATCAGTTGCGTGTGACTAATGGTGCATTGTGGTTACTGAAAATGCTCCACGGCATGGTACCCATCAGTTAGATGACTAGCCTGCAGGCCAGATGGGTTATTACTTTTATGTAGTGTAACGAAACCTTTAGGCCTTAACTGATAATGGTTTTCGCCCTCCTCCTTCCCTCTCAGGACATAAACAAGCGTCTGTCTCTGCCTGCCGATATCAGGCTTCCTGATGGCTACCTGGAGAAATTCAACCTCAACAGCCCCCTGTTTGACAAACCGCTCAGCCGGAGATTACGCAGGGTATCGCTGGTAATGCCTCTCCATTTGTTTTCCTTTCTGTCAACCTCTTTCTTTTTTTTTTAGCCTCTGCTTGTGCCCAATTTCCTGCTCAAATCCAATATTTTGTGAGGTTGTTCACCTTTTCAGTGTGGCCCATATCATACTAGTCTAAAAAATGTAATATAATTTAATATGATAGAATGTATCCATAACTAATTATACAAAGTGAATTCCGTTATAAATGAAAGAGAAATAGAAAATAGAAATGACCAGACTGTATATACAAGACATAGAATTGGTCATATTTATTTAAATGAGAACAATTGCCTGTATGCGATTTATATTTATATATATATATATATATATATATACATAT